ATAAATGGTATGCATTAGATACACCAAACTCAGAATACTCCTACATGGTATGAATTGTTGATATCTAATAATCAGTAGTCACTTCTAGCATTCAATTTTCTATTTGTTATGTACAGATGGAAAATATCTCAAGGAAGTTGACCGAGTTCTTAGGCCTGGGGGTTATTGGGTGCTTTCGGGTCCTCCGATCAATTGGAAGAATAATTACCAAGCATGGCAGCGTCCCAAGGAGGATCTTCAGGAAGAACAGAGACAGATTGAAGAAGCTGCTAAACTTCTTTGCTGGGAGAAGAAGTCTGAGAAGGGTGAAACTGCCATTTGGCAGAAGAGGGTAGACTCTGATTCATGTGGAGACAGACAAGATGATTCCCGTGCTAACTTTTGTAAAGCTGATGAAGCAGATAGCGTCTGGTATTTCCCTGTGGTTAAATTTTGTTTACCATTCTAATTTTTTTAATACTTGGAGGCCTTTGTTCAGTTATCAATTGATAAGAAGACCTTGATTCCTTTTTGGTCTCCTCTAATAACTTTGCATGCATCCAATTTGTGTGTTTCGACTTTTAAAAAAATGCCAGCATGTGTATGATGATGGAAAAATATGGGGCAACTACTTTTAAATGAACGCGAATGGTATACAAATATTGTTACCTTAAAGTTTTTAGCAAACAGGGTTTGTGGTTATCTGTAGTGAAAAGCCTTGCAGAAATATTTTTAGTTTCAAATTTTGCATCAAAGGGGTCCTGAGTTCTGGTCAGGTTACAAATAAGAAAACTCCACGTTTGTGCATTGCTTATCAGCTTATGCTGTTAACATAGATATACTTTTTCTTATTTAATATTTTTTCATTTGGGTTGTTATCAGGTATAAGAAAATGGAGGGATGCATAACTCCATACCCTAAAGTTTCCAGTGGGGAGTTGAAGCCGTTTCCAAAAAGGCTTTATGCTGTTCCCCCCAGGATTTCTAGTGGGTCTGTTCCTGGAGTTTCTGTTGAGGACTACGAGGAGGATAACAACAAATGGAAGAAGCACGTGAATGCTTATAAAAGAATCAATAAACTAATAGACACAGGAAGGTATCGCAACATTATGGATATGAATGCTGGTTTGGGTGGTTTTGCTGCTGCAATTGAATCTCCAAAATTGTGGGTCATGAATGTGATGCCCACAATAGCCGAGAAAAATACGCTGGGTGTTGTATATGAGCGAGGATTGATTGGAATCTACCATGATTGGTACCCTACTCTGAACTTTTCTCCCTTGTCTAATTGTTCCTCTAGAGCATCCTTTTGAGCAAATTCTGTTGACATTCCTATATTTACCACGCTTGCTAGACTATGTGCTTTCAAGATAACCATTGTAATTTCCTTTCCTGCTAAAAATGTCATCTGGCAGCTGAACAGTTGTGTCCAAAGTTAGAACATATCAATAGAATTGTGTTGCGTATTTTACAGCGTATGTAAGGCTAGGCTATGTCCAAAACGGTTTTAGAAGTGAATTATATATACCAATCATTTCTTCCTTAAAACAAAAAGTTCCTAGGATGTGTTAAATAATTGTGAGGTCCTGGTGCAGATTTCGCCGTTCATTAATTTTGTTCATTTGTCAACCATTTTATTCTTTTTTCTGGTGATTCTATATCAGGTGTGAAGGTTTCTCTACTTACCCAAGGACATATGACCTCATTCATGCCCATGGTGTTTTCAGTATGTACAATGGAAAGTAAGTTGTATATCTTTATTAGTTATTATTTTTTGGCTCTTGTTAGTTCTTTTTTTCACTCCAACGGAGAAAGCCTTAGCTCAATCCTCAAATTATTTGGTGTGATACCTAATGAGATATTTCTTGGGCTCAGTACATAGAAAACAGTGTTAAGCTTGATTCTATTGCTGGTTTCAGTATGGATGGATTGACCTTGATGATGTTAAGCTCATTTAGGTCAACCTGACATTCTGAACTTGTTTAGCTTCATTCAATCTTGGCTCTCTACCCTTTGTGCTTCTTCTCGGTTGAATATTGTTCTTGAAGCTTATTGGATTGGCCTGCCTTATTATTCATGTCGAATGATTAAGAATGGTTAATACAGTAAACATTTTAGGACGTTCTTTTACGGTCCAACAGTGATTTCCCTGAGCACTTTGCTTATAAACGATGCTACATGAAGCCTTTTAGTTTGAGGGTGGAACTACTGTTTTGGTTACAATAGTATATGTACATCTAATACCAACTATTTGTTAACTTGTCATAATAAGAATCCGGCTGTCGTGTTGCGGAACCATCTGGATGAGGGATAGTATATGTAGATCCAATGAGGGGTAGTTGTTAAAGTAATGACAGGGATCCCATACTTGGAATAGTAGACGTAGAACTAACTTCTTCAATTCCAGATTGTTTCTTATGCCAAGACCAATTCAATAATGTTTTGCTTATTCTTTCCTTCTGCTTTTCTCTGACTGCTAAGCTGTATTGAATGTATTGCAGATGCAACTGGGAAGACATTCTTCTAGAGATGGATCGGATCTTGCGGCCAGAAGGTGCCGTCATATTCCGTGATGAAGTCGATGTATTAATTAAGGTGAAGAAGATAGTAGGAGGAATGAGATGGGATACTAAACTGGTGGACCATGAGGATGGTCCCCTTGTACCAGAGAAGGTATTGGTTGCTGTGAAGCAGTACTGGGTTGGAAACTCCACCTCCGCACAATGAATGCCTTAAAAGGACTGCCTCGAGGCCTCGGCGTGGATCTAAGCTGGCAATGTTCTCTGTTACAAGTCCTCACAGGGATGTGTATTTTTCCAGTGCTCACTTTTGCTGCCCGAGTACTTCATACTTCGTAAGGAGGAGGGCTTACACAGTCTATGTTCGTTAACTATCTTCCGCCACGTTCCTTTGTAGTAATTTACAAGTAAACAAAGCTACAGAGCTACAATGCTTGTATGTTTAGAGTGTCATTCATTTTACAAAACCCCTTTTTATTATTGAAATTTTAGCGAAAAGTTCTCGGTACTGTTTATTTTAACGAAAAACTATATTTTTACACTAAAAAATCAATTTTGGTGCTATTCACTTTACCCTTTATTTTGTCCTGATCGTTAAAACTTAAAGTTTTTAAATCTTTTTAATTAGTTTTCTTTTTTATTAATCGTGTATGCCATGGAGGTTACTTAGTGGGGAAAGGCTTTGTTGTTGTTTGTGTATGCCGCGGAGGCCAAAATTCAAACAAACACTAGCTTCCTTAGCTGACTGGCGAAGTTCTTAGGTATGACCGTGCAGGTTAATGAGAACTCGAAACATCGATGTTCTCTGGTTTTTAAGGTTTCCTTTCCACTTATACCATTTTACCATTTTCGTAGACGATTCGACGGCTCGTAACGTCAACATGAAAACTGCCTTAGTCTGGCCAATTGTCTACGACTTCTTCGACGGTAAAATTTCGTGTGGACTAGATTTCTTGAAACCGAAGGCACAAACCAACAATGATGGAATTTATTGTGATGGGATGGAATTAAATTTGTTGGTTTAGCAATGAAGACAATGTCTGCGTGTAATATTCATATCCTCATGTCCTTTAATTTCATAAATATACTAAAATTTTCAAAATTAAGATGCGTCTCTTATCCGGTTAAATTTTATCTCACATTAAATATGAAAGTCTTACGATAAAAATTTGAAAGATCATGGGTCCCTTCACTCACTGTTAATTCGTATTGAATCGGATGCTTACATTCTAACAAACTTGTCAGAGTCCGTGACTAACCACGCCGGCCCCGGCAACACATTACAAGGAGTCTGTTTGCAATCTTTTCCTTGTGTTTCTCAATTATTGATACATAATTTTTCTGACTGATGAGAAGAAAGAAAAAAAGACAGATAAATGGTGTTCAGACTTCAGAAGACACAGCAATCTGTGGATATTGAGACGACAAATTCTTTGTGTCTTCATTAACAAAGGAAGATGGGTGCTATTTGTTTTATCAAATGGCTTGTATGTCAGATCGACTACAAATATTTATTTTTCACATAGAAGCCATACTCATCATTATTCTCTAGAAATTGAAGGGAAAGATTAATTAAGAGGTTTGTAGCTCAAGTAGTTGAGAGTATTTATTCATGTATCCGAAGTTTCGTGCTAAATGTAGCTCAAGTAAAAAAGGGCCATTTTGCGAGGGTCGGGGCAACCTTTACTCTTGTTTTGCAAAAAGGTTGTTTTCACATGACCTTTCAGTCACAAGGGACAACCTTTCCGTTGCGCCAAGTCATGTACATGTATTTATGTATAGGTAAAAAATTTCATTAGCCAATCTAATCACGTGATTGTACAGTGTCTAGAATGCTACTTCTAAAAGTGTCAAATCAAATCACATGATCGGGTTGCCTTACTAAAATTTCCTATATATGCAACAGAGGGTAGCTCTACTGCTTTCGGTCTGTTATCTCCTTCAAGAGAGAATCATAAGTTGAAAATTTTCTTGTATTTTTGGAACCCAACAAGTTGATGTGAGCTTCTCATGTTTGTAGGCGTCCAAATGTTCGAATGCAATCGAATGCAAATTAAAGCACTCTGTTATATGACATCCACAGATATGGAAATCAAAACAAATATTTTACGTACCGTACATTTGGCAGATTTCTTGGAAAATTACATGTCAAGTCAGATATTATATACAGGGGCTGTGATATTTACACATATTTTTTTACTTCTCACACACCCTTCTAATTGGATGAATTGAAGAAAATCAAATGACAGAAGTTAACAAATGATGCATGAAAAATAAAAAATGATGTTTGAATAGCATATCCCTGTATAATATATGACTTGACATGTAATTTTTTCTCTATCTCTCTCTCTAATGGGTAACACGAAAACCAATGATTTTTTCTCTTGAAGAAAATGACAAACTGTCTAAATAGGCAACCAAGCAAACATGTCCCTACCCCTCTTAATGTACAACTTTGCATGTTCCATGATAATCCTCTACCTCTACATATACAAGAAGACTTCTCAACTAGCTCTCTCACCAATCTTATCTTCTCCGAGCCTCTGAACTATTCACCAAAACCCTCATTCTCCTCAATTTAGTTCCTCCTTCGAGATCCCTCTTCTCTTCTGTTTCAAATTTTATATTTTTCGGTTTTTTTTTTCTTTTTGTAGTTTTATGTGCTTTAAACCAATTTGTTTTCTCTACTTTTTGTTGTATAGAGTTTGTTCAAGAATTCAACCCTGAGGTCTAGAATTTGGTTCAACTTTAGCTTTTCGGTAATATCATTTGTATCAAAAAAGTTTCTTTGAGAATTTTGAGTTCTCTTCCCTATGGCTATGGTTACCTTAAAATCGACTAGCACGGCGAACATATCGCAAACTTTTCCATTCGAGAACAACGCCGCCAACCGTGATGCTTCCTTTTCGTCATACTTGAGCGGCAATGAGGAAGCCTTTGTGCGTAAACTTGCCGATCAGGCGAGCAAGGAGCAGCAGCAGCATAACATTAACAATCACTTGGGTACAAAGAAAGCAGCTGACGACGAAGAAATTGGAGTTTTTGGAGCTGAAAAGTACTTCAATGGAGTGATGGATGAGGAGACGAGCGTGACAAGCTCGAAAAGCGGCAGCAGCAGCAGCACGAAGAAATACGATCACAAGAAGGATAAACCAGTGGGTATGGATCACATGAAGATAAGGGTTCAGTCGGGGACTCCGAGTGTTCGTTCTGAATCGAGCTTGAACAGCCAAAGCGCCTTGCTTACAAGTGCGTCGAGAAATCCTTACCGGACAAACACAAGTAAGGGACACATACAGAGGAAGAACTTCTTTGCCAGCCTTGGCTGCAAATGTGTGTGTTCGGATAAGAATTCGGTTGATGTGGATGAACACGTCGGAGAAATCAGCTTCAAGAAGAACAACCATGGTGCAAACACAGGCTGCACGATAACACCAATCAATCATAAACCTCCTGACGTGGTGGACATTGTTGATGAAGTTATAGTTGATATGAAAAAAAGCGAAAAGCTTGAAAAGTTGGGAGTTGGGTTGGGAAGAGAGAACTGTTTTACTTTCCCAACTTCAAAATCCGGGGCGGGGAGTTTGCCGGCGAAGATGCTGCCTTTTCAGCAAGCAGAAGAGGAGGCGGAGAAAGTGAGGAAGTCTTTGGAAGTGTTTGGCTCCCCTGTGTTTGAGAAGCGAAATAAGTCTTTCGCCCTCGAAAAAAAGCTCAAAATGCTGCCGTGGGATGAGTTTCCGGCGAATTCTGGCCGTGTAATCTACAATAACGAGTCGGATAGTGATGCAAGTTCGGATCTTTTCGAGATTGAGAGCCTCACCGGCAAAGCAAACCCTTTTCTTGCGCGGCAAGCATCAGATGCCGGCTGCGTGACGCCAACGAATTGTTATGCGCCGAGTGAGGCGAGCATAGAGTGGAGTGTGGTCACTGCCAGCGTTGCTGACATCTCCATGATGTCCGATTTCGAAGATCACCAGAGACCAGCGAAAATGGCTCCAAATTCTACGAATGCCAAAGCAAGAATGACCAAGGAAATTCCGAGGCACCGCTCCGGGGCGCTGTTGGGTTGTAAGAGCCAGAAATCTGTGAAAGTTGCCGGAGATGCACACAGAAGTACGTATCAACATGAGAAGAGCTATTTCGAACAGCAGGTCACGCACCGCAGGGCGGAATCATACGTGCCAGGGACAAGGTTTCAAGCGGAGACAACTAATAAGCTGACAGGATTTGATGCAAGAGTCCAAGGGCAGCGTGCTCTTGCAGCACGGCCGCTCCCTCGTTCACATTCACCGCACGCTTCACATCTTTTGTACATGTAGTAAAGTAAATCTTTTTATTAATGCAGTATATATAATGTATGGATCATAATTTTCACTGGAATTTCTACCATGTATGATTAAATATTTTTCTGTAGTAGTAGTGATTAATTCCAAAAGCTGCTTCTTTAAAAGTTTTAGAGTACAATATAACAATTACTGAATTTAACGGTTGGATGTGCTCTAAAGAATTTAAGAAATTTAACGAGTATATCTAAACCACTTAAAAGTTAAAAGGCAATGCTTACTATACATTGAGGTAGAGGACCCTCATTATAAAAATTTCTTCAATATATTAATGTATGACATACAATATTGAATTTAACGGCTAAATATACGTTGACTATCCAATTTCAATACGCAATAGCTCTCTTTTAACTCCGTATCTAACTAGTTCCTTCCAACCTTTTCTGCAAGAAAAATGCAAGATTTGACGTACGTTGCTGGCCTATTACAAACAAATTGGTCTGCAGAGTGCAGACGGCAGTGCAAAAGCACTTTTCTCCAGGGACGCGCAGGAAAACTGCTTTTCAAATGCTTCCTCTCCCTTGACATGTTTAGGAGGCTACAAATTTATCTTCTTTTTTTTTTCTTCTTATATTCTCGTGGATTCAAAACCTGAGGCTTCAAACACTCCACTTTCAATGCTTCACAAAAAGGCAGCTTAAACTGGAAGCTAACATGGTCGAGTTGTCAAATCTTTTGTCTATATTTCCCTCTAAGGACCACACCTGAAGAGAGAGAGAGAGAGAGAGGGATATATATATATATATATATATATAGGGATAGGATCAAGGGACAAAGATTTTGACAAACATTTTTACACTCCTTTACAACCTTTAGATCTTGTAACATTCAACGGTCTTGATTAAGAGTTATGTAGATGATTTTAAACATTAAATGAGGTATAAATTTATAATTAAGAAATTAATAAAAGTTAAAACTAAGAAAAGAATAAAAACTGAGGGAATAATCTTGCAAACGTAAGGAAGAAGCAAAAATGGCCGTCTGGGATGAAAATGCAAAAGCACGACCATCGAATTGCTTCAACCAACCCCAACACCTCAAATTCCTATCACTCACGCTGTCAAACTTAGCATCGTTCCTTCAATTGATCGATACAAAATTCCGATATAAATGCAGATCAAGTATCAATCTGCTTCAAGTATTCGTTCCTCGCTTTTTCAATAAATTGACAAAACTAAACCCTAAATCAACAACTCCAACTGCCTCCCTCAATTTTTTTTTTATACAATTAAATCTGAGTGTGGATTTGAAATAGAATTGAAGAGGTTTATGGGGTTTTTACCCAAAGATGAGAACGAAGACTCAAAAGACTTGAAGGTATTTTGCACAAATCAATGGAGGCCTTTGTGCGCAAGGTTGTCTTCCTCTTTTCAAATTTTAATTAATTTTCTAGTTTTTATTATTTATCAGTTTTTATTCTTTTTCAATGTTAATTATAATCCACGTAAGCATCCAAGTCATTGAATGATTCATTGAAGACCCTTAGATGTTATGTAATCTAACGGCTTAAAAGGAATGTAAAAATGTTTGTCAAAATCTTTGTCCCTTGATCCTTTAGATTACAAAACATCCAAAGGTTCATATTTATTCATTAAATGACATGGATGCTTAAGTGGATTTTAACTAATATTAATGATAAAAATTAAAACAGTTACGAATCTTTCACACTTCTTTCATCCTTCACAATTGCTTTGAATTTCAGTAGAAACAGAAATAGCAGAAACATTGCGTCCGGTTTTATGAACAGAAAGCTCCCCTCATCCGAAACACAAAATTCAATCAATCCCGGCCCACATCCAAAATTCAATCAAACCCCACACTGGGATGGATTTTCTTCCCACTTGTAACAAGTAATATCTGGGTATGAAGCATGCATCTGATCTTTGAAATGATTGTCCATATGAAACAGACGTCCTGCATAGAGAATTTATATTGGTTTTAGAAGCAACATTAGATAATCTGGACAATACCTGGCTTAGGCCAGGCCATGGCTTGAGTCGTACCTTCATTAAAGACAACGTGACATTATTTTACTGGACTATTCCTCGTTCAATGACAATGTAACATTATTTCACCGTAAAAAAAGTGATAATCACAACCTTGGTTCTCTTTATTGTCATCTAAAGCTCATGTCTAGAAAAATTCATTCAATTTGAGAATAGTTTAACCATTCATATATGTGGACGAATCAAGAATCAATAAAACAAGTAACATCCTCATAATTCACTGTCAATTTAAATCCCTCAATAATCACACATAACGTTCTTTACATTAGGTCCCTCATGGGGGCTAGAAAATTTCGTAAGTTCCAAAAAAAAAATGTTCAACCATGAAGAGGAGGGCCAAAGGCCAGAAGGGTTGCCATGTGTTCCTGAATCCAACCTCCAAAGCCAATAATTCAATCAATTTCGTCTCCTCTTACTATTATCCACTCTATCAATCTATATACTATTTAATGTCGATCTTTCAATTTTAAAGGAAGGAATGTCTTCCAAAAATGGCATAATCTCACCATGAAACATTCATACCCCCATTAAAAACCAGAGAGCATAATTGGATGAGTATCAAAATCTGCCATAACTTGCTTATAAATACACTGGCCCATTTTTAGCCCTTCTATTTCAAATGCCTGGACCAAATATTTAATTTTGGATTATAGAAGGATAACAAGTCAACTGCAGAAAAGGAAATTCAACAATCATTTTTGGCAAAATTGAGCGTAGTGGCATTTTATGATTCATATAGTCGACCCCACTTAATGGGATAAGGGTTTGTTGTTGTCGTTGTATTTAAATCCTAGAACTAAAATCAGAATGAACAATAATAATATGAGGGACTACTACAAAAAGTTGAGTTTCTACTTTGTACCGGTAAAGCTCAATGGTTATGTTGTTTGTTGGGAAAGCTTTTAGAAGCATTCCAAATTCCAATTGTCTTTGATGAGAACACGGAGAAGAGTAAAGCGAGAGAAATTTGCACGTGAAGGCGTGTACACATTATACTATGTTGATGCACAAAACCGGAGGTCTTGGAACAACGTAAATCCGACCGTGAATCTGCATGTAATGTAAATAACACAAGATGTATCGTGGTTCACCCCAAGGTTTGGGCTACGTCCACACTGATTGTATTTATTTGAGATGTTGAAGAGGGAGAATGTGAAAGCTTCTGAGGGTGAGAGAGGGGAGTGATGGCTTGAGAGTTCGCCTCTGAGAGTGAGAGTGAGGCCCCCTTCAATTGTGAGGGTGAGGGGTCCTTTTATAGAATAAGGACTCCTCACTTATTACATCTTTGCCCCTTCCTTTATCCCATAATTACATTTAAGTCCCCTGAGTATTTGTACGAGATCTAAATACGAGGCCCTAAATATGGTATAAACAGTAGTCCCCCAAGTCTTCAGTCAAGAGAGTCTTTTGGCTGGAGACTTGAAATTCAGTCCATGTGTGGGCCGAAGTAACTAGATGTCGTCTAGAACTAATGCTTGATATGAGGCGGTGCCCAATCTGAAATGATGCTCAACTAGAAGTAGCACATGTTGCGAGGCCGCTCTGCTTGTAGCTTGTGTTGCCTTGGTTGGCTCGGCTTGTGGCGTTTGAAGGTGAGGGAGTCCCTTTTATAGAATAAGGGCTCTCTCCTCAATACATAAGTGATGAGTTAGAGTTGATGCTCGCAGTGAGACAGTTGCTCAGTAGGCGGCGATGCTCTCTAATGGTGGTGAGGGAGTCCCTTTTATAGAATAAGGGTTCGCTCCTTAATACATAAATCATGGGCTAGAGTCCCCCAAGTATTTTTCATGAGGCCCAGTTGAGGCCCAATATATGGTACATAATGTAGTCCCCCAAGTCTTCGGTCAATAGAGTCTGTTGGCTGGAGACTTCAAATTGAATCCATGTATGGGCCGAAGTGGCGGTTGTTCTAAGGCGGTATTTGTATACCTTGCACTGAAGCTTTGTAGGTGAAGCTTTGCAAATGAAGCTTTCGAAGCTGGAGCTCTGTAAATGAAGCTTTTGAAGCTAGAGCTCTGTAAATGAAGCTTTCGAAGCTGGAGCTTTTGTAAATGAAGCTTTCGAAGCTGGAGCTTTTGTAAATGAAGCTTTTGAAGCTGATTGACATGAGTGATGCTCATGAATGTTTATGTTGATTAACATGAGTGATGCTCATGGATGTTGTCATGAGTAATGCTCATGAATGTTAACATGAGTGATGCTCATGAATGTTGACATGAATGATGGTCATGAATGTTTATGTATGATTGTCATGAGTGATGCTCATGAATGTTTATGTATGAATGACATGAGTAGTGCTCATGTATAATTTGGAGTACTGGGCGTACTTTTGATGACCTGGTTGGTGCTATTTCAGGCCTATGGGCCTTTGCCCTCCATAACATGTCAGCCCATTTGTTTTGGGCTTTTCCTTTTCTTTTTTTTTTTTTTTTTTTTTTTTTTTTTTTTTTTTGTTTTTGTTTTTTTGTTTTTTTGTTTTTTTTTTGACCCTCTGATGGGGTTTATGTATATATTACCCTCTGATGGGGTTTATACAGATGTCTCCGAAAGATAATAAAAATAAATTACATCATTCGGGTGGGGTATTTATTCCTTGTTTTGGCAGTGTCTCCATGTGCATCCTTTTTGCCTTCCTCTTTTCTGCTTTCTGAAATATTCTCCCAACAACATGATCTTTTTTCTTTTCTGTTCCCTCTTTGATCTCTCCACTTCCAGACACACTGACTTGCTTTTGCTTTTACTTTCCCTTTTCTTTCTCTTTTCCTTTTGCTTTGTCCGCCACTGCCTTTGAACACTAGCTAGTGTACTCCAGTTGTAAAATCTGTGAGATCTGGAGAAAGATGTCTGGAGAAATGCATGCACAAATGTTGATGGACCATTTTTCGGGATTTCGAGGGACCACCATGTTTCGAGGTTCAGTTGGTGGAGATGAGGGGCTGGTGGTTGAACTCGATGAGGAGGGGGGTCGACCCAGGTGGCGAGGTCGGAGGGATTGTAGAGAGGACGACGTCGGAGGCGAGGAGAGGTCGCAGTAGGAGTTGAGACCGCCGAGGTTTTTCGACGTAGCCGGAGTTGCTGGACGGGTT